TCTATTTGAAGCCCATATGGTGGCGTGATGTTGAAATGTAGGTTGAGGAGGTTCACTTGCTCTCACCGTTCATAGCAATGAGAAAATCGCACGTGACACAGATTAGTCATTGGTGTGTCTGAAGGCTTCACGTGACTCAACCCTTTTGGCTGGAGCTTTCATTCATCACACAGTGAGAAAGAATCCTGGCTGCTACCACCTTTTCTTTTTCTTCTTTTTTTTTTTTTTTAAATCGCGCCGACTCACACAAAGGTGTTTGTTATAACTACTCATTGTTTTCATGCCAACTACCACTTCTGTGATGAATGTTCATCTCTTGACTCATGTCTTCTCACATGAGTCACGCTGTCGGGAGCGACCATACTTGTCCTTCCGCTGTAGTAAGAGGAAGACGACGGCTCACGTGTGCTGGGAACAAATGCGTCTCTCCCACAATTGTTGTTATAATCCTGCCGCATTTTATTTATTTTTTTGGCATTGTTCCACATGGGCGTTTGGCCTCGACAAACGCGCTTTTCCTGATGCCAAGCATGCGCGCCGCGAAGAAATTGAAAAGCCGCCTGGCCGAGGTCAGTCGTTTCGTGCTGGGCCATTGTCTGCTGACTTTTTGCCAACGTCACAAACGCTGTTGTCAATGTTGTCAGGCTGACTTTTTAACTGGGCTGCTCTCTTTTCCAAACAAAGCTTCTGTGTTTGGTCTGTCTCTTCAGTGATAACAATGGTGGTCTACTGCTGGTCGGGAGGGAGAATGCCGATATCGCTGCTACCCACTCACTTTGCTTTACATGGCACCGGTGGCCATTTGATAGTACGTGTCGTGTTTCAGACCTAACGAGGCTTGCTTAAAAATGAACCCATCACCCCCCGCATGAAGCCGTCCTGCAGGGGCAGGGGTGTGTGTTCGTGTCAGCTGGCCAGTTGAACTTGATCACTTTGCAAGTTCGCTTTCACAGCCCTGTACCCTTTCGCTTTTCGGAGTGAACCGAAACATGACTTTACTAACTTTTATCGACATAACGAGTCACTTTAACATCGCCACCCTTGGTCCTCCACCGCCGTTAAAAATCATTCGAAACTTTTCCAGACATTTACTTTGGGTCACTAGATCTGACAGAGTAATAATCTCTGATTCCCTTCAGGATGACTTTAAATTAATCCTGCTTGGGTTTGGCGGGAAGCGTTAGAGCTCTCCTTTTGCCCTGGGAAAGGAAGCTGTGTGCATGTGTGTGAACCTTCTGTTCAGCCCTCTTGGCGGCTTGACGTCAAGAATGACTCGAATTCACGTGCAGCTGAACTGACCTGAACCGCTCAGATCCTCCTCCAAATAGACTTGCTTAGGTCTTTCATTTCACCCAAAACTGAAGTAAGCCGCATGTTCCATGTCCATTCAATTGGACTCTTGATTTTGTATTTGCTGATAGTTTCATCTTTTGCATTCAGACAGTTTAACTTGTGCCTTATGCAAAAAGTTCGATGGGGCAGGGAGGCATTTGAGCATGCAATATAATGGTGAAAGCGTTTTATGAAGAGGAGGATTTTTACTTGGGCAAACCCAAAGGTTTGGCATTCAAGGGATCATAGGAATTGCCACAAGAATCCAGCTCAATCGACAACCCAAAACCACACACACTTGACCCACTTTTTTCAGCCAGCAATCAGCCAGAAACAGAGTTGATTTTTGTTTTTTTGTGACTTTCCCCCAAAGTTCTCGAGCCTGTATGTATTTGTAAACAGTTTAGAGGACGGTAATAGACTTCCTGAACTGGATTATCTGATGGATCACGGTCACATGGTCAGTAAGACTGTAGTGATACACGGCATTTTTAATTGGGGTCACAGATGTGCTACATTGAGCAGGAATTGAAATATGTTTGAGGTTTGGTCACCTCTGACTGAATTTTACTGTCATCCTGGGATTAGGATGATCTCCCTGTGCACGTGCCTCCTTCGACTCACTGATCTGCCCAGACCTGTTCTACCTTTTCAATAGTCCGTCTGGCTTTGTGGCAAAAGTGCTCCGATATAATATGTGGGTGTCGAGTGGACCTGACACGTTCATATAATGGACCGAATTCCTTCAGCTGGTTTGACTGAAGTTGTATCTGCTTATTTCGAGTCTATTGTGCATAGAATTGTCCTCACGTAGTTTCTGTCCACGTGAAAAAGCATTTGCAGGCTGTCTTACGCATGCCAAAGTGTCAGGTGGCTCTATAACCCTTAATGCAAAGTAATTTTATCCAATTAGCTATCTATAGAAAGTCAGTTTTGTGACTGGCTTAACAGCAATGGCAAATCACGGAAGTGGAGTGATGATAGCTTGCGTGTGGATCTGAGACAAAAAAAAAAGGAAATGTAAATAAACACATTTTCTTTTTGATTGGGTGGCAAGCAGTTGTGAGTGTACCCCGCCTACTGTCCAATGACAGCTGGAATAGGCTCCAGCACGCCCGATACCCTCATGACAAGAAGTGGTTCAGCTAATGGATGGATGATTTTTTTTTTTTTCCCCTCGTAAGAAATATATTTTGAGATATTTTTCATTTGACATCTGACGACTGTGTGTGTTAACACGGCCAACAAGCATGCTAGAACAAACCCCATAATTGCTGCCTGCATCCTCGTTTAAGGTCGACTGGTTTGTCAGTTGGTTGGTTGCCAGCCTTAGAAGAAGGGGAGAGGTGTCGTTGAGCAAGGGCGGGCCTCAGGATAGCGTGGCAATGAGCATTTGGCGCTAAATTAGGGCAGAAACAGGAGCCTCGTTCAGTGGTGAGCTGACCATTTTGGCCTCGCCACAAACTACCGAAGCATGAGGCCAGTGCGAGTGTCGTTTTCCCCTCATGGGCCAACTTCCTTTTGTGTTCACTGTCCTCGATGTAGATTGCTGCGAGTGTGACAGTGAGAGATTATCCTGCTCTGAGAGTGCTGACAGGGCCCCCACGTGTCTGTTCTCCAGCCTTTCAACTGTCTCTTCTCTATGCTCTCTTTGTCCCGTTGGCGTGCCTTTTGCAATGAACTGCACACTCGAGGGACACCGCACGCACTACAGGCCAATCTTTTGTTGTTTTGAAACTCTGGATTTCTATCAACGGTGCCCACATGTCCTCTCTCTGCTGCAGGGTCACCTGTCTGAAGGTCTAGTCACCAAGTGGTACAGGTCTCCCCGCCTGCTCCTCTCGCCAAACAACTACACCAAAGCCATCGACATGTGGGCTGCCGGGTGCATCTTTGCCGAGATGCTCACTGGCAAAACTCTCTTTGCAGGTAAATGTTGACGGAGTTTGTCATGTTGCATTTGCCAAGCGACTGTCACTTGTTTAAAGAGCTCCGGGCTGAACAGAAAGCAAACAACTCTTGTGTTGCGCTTGGAACAAATGGGGCCAAGTGTTGAATATTCCATAACAACATCCGCCTGATCGCTCAGGGGCCCATGAACTGGAGCAGATGCAGCTGATCCTGGAGTCCATCCCGGTACTGCGAGAGGAAGACCGCCAGGAGCTCCACAGCGTCATACCCGTCTTCATCCGCAACGACATGTCCAAACCTCAGACACCACTGACAAAGCTGCTACCTGACATCAGTCCTCAAGGTAGTATTAACCTACTGCAAATGCAGTTAATCCCCGCAGAGGGGTACGTTACAGACCCACTCGGGGAAGGTGCCAAACATTTTTGAAATGGTTCTACCCCTACCACGTGCTTTAAACATGTTAAACCAGACTTATTAAATGACACTTTTCATCGTATTGTATGTTCAACCAAACCATGTAATTGAGTCGAACGAAAGTCCGCTAGCTTAATTCTAACAATGGGAAACGCCATAGACTGGAGAATTGAACTGAGCGTAGATGTTGCTATAATTATGAGCCTTGGATGAACTGCTTCTTTAGCACACATGTAGTAGCAACACGGCGGCCCGGCGGTCCAGTGGTTAGTGCGTTGACCTCACAGTGCAGAGGTACCGGGTTCAATTGCAGCTCTGGCCTCCCTATGTGGAGTTTGCATATTCTCCCCGGGCCCGCGTGGGTTTTCTCCGGGTACTCCGGTTTCCTCCCACATTCCAAAAACATGCGTGGCAGGTTAATGGAACAATTTAAATTGTCCCTAAGTGTGAGTGTGAGCGCGGATGGTTGTTTGTGTGTGTGTGCCCTGCAATTGGCTGGCAACCAGTTCAGGGTGTCCCCCGCCTACCGCCCGAAGGCAGATGGGATGAGCTCCAGCACCCCCTGCAACCCTTGTGATGATAAAGCGGATCGGAAAATAGATGGATGGGATGGATGGAGCAGCAACACATTCAGAGTACACAACACACACTCACAGGCATCTTTTCTCTGCGCTGTTGGAACAACAGTCGTTGGGGATCTGCTCAGCTTTCCCTTCATCTCTTCCAGCAGAGCTCAGGGCTTCCTGGCATATTGTGGTACTACGCTGAGGGCGCACAACTTTTAAATTCAGGCGGAATTAAAATCTGTGAACAACAAACCCTAATATAGCTGGGGGGGTTCACTGTACTGTCACACTCGTGAGGTACACCACCATCGAGTTTGCATCACTCAAATGTATCCGTTGTCTTTCCACCATTGTCTTCGTGTGCAGCCCTGGATTTCCTAGAAAAGATCTTGACCTTTAACCCCATGGATCGTTTAACTGCGGAAGAGGCACTGGCCCACCCCTACATGGCTGACTACTCCTTCCCCCTGGACGAGCCCATCTCGCTGCACCCTTTCCACATCGAAGATGAAGTTGACGATATCTTGCTCATGGACCAGAGCCACAGCCACACGTGGGACAGGTGCGGGCGTGCTTGAGACGACGACTTCTCTCTCCAACTAGCTGAGTGCCAGTTGGTTAGAAAGTCGGAAGTACCTTGCCTGTGAGACGGCGGTGGTTTTTAATGACTGTGCCCTGGCCTTGTTTTCCAGGTATCACGAGAGCCAGATGTCGGAGGCTGACTGGCACTTGCACAGCATTCATGACCCAGAAGAAGTCCAAGTGGACCCGAGGGCCCTCTCTGATGTCACGGATGAGGAAGTGGTACAGGTGCGTGAGTTTGATTATTAACCGACTATCAAACATTCTCATATTGGTGCTATCGTGACAGTGTTCAAAAGCCAGCCTGGCGATTCAGGGCAGCTGTACCTTGGCTTCCTCGTGCCTCAATTCATGAGGTTTGCCAGTTACGATCTATCGCTTAGTTGCTGCCAAAATGTGTTATGGGTGACCTTCGTTGTTTGAATTAAAAAGGTTTGTGTGGGGGCGGGGGTTGATTTGCACTAGTTTAGTCCCTGAGTGCTTTTTGAAATGGTGGTGGCGATTTCAGTCCGATGCTAGTATTCACATGTGGGGAGCCCACAGCGTTGAATTTCATGACGGAGTGTATTCGCAGTATTGGTGTTGGTAGCTAGCAACCAGCGAGAGTACTTGGCTTTGCTCATTTGCGTTGCGCCTGTTGCGTGTTGCAGGTGGACCCTCGGAAGTACGCCGACAGAGATCGAGAGAAGCTCCTGGATGAGCCTTCCTTTGACTACTCCACTCCATTCTCGTCAGAGCGGTCGTGGCCGGACGAGCATCACGAGAACAAATACTGCGACCTACAGTGTAGCAACACATGCAACTACAAGGCCGTGTCCCCCTCCTACCTGGACAATCTCATCTGGCGGGACAGCGAAGTCAACCACTACTACGAGCCCAAGCTCATCATCGACCTCTCCAATTGGAAGGAGCAGCAGAGCAAGGAGAAGGCTGACCGCAAGGCCAAGAGCAAGTGCGAGAAGAATGGGCTGGTGAAGGCCCAGATCGCCATGCGGGAGGCCGAAAAGACCCAGAGCGTCGCAGAGAAGGACCGCGAGCAGGAGAAACACCAGGCGCAGCCGCCCGGCCAGCAAGGCTTCGACTTTGACTCCTTCATCGCCAGTACCATCAAACTGAGCCTGCAGCCGGAGGCCTGTCAGGAGGTGGGCCTCCTCAGCGAGGTGGGCCTCCTCAACGAGCTCAACTCTTCCGTCTCCCAGCTGGAGGCCCCTCGCTCCGGATCCATGTCCAAGTCCATTAGTCAGGAGAAGGAGGAAAAGTGCCTGGTCAACCTGGCCCAGCTGGGCGGCGGCGGCGGCTTGGCGGTGGTCGGTAGCGACGGGCCATGGCCCGCGCACCCGTGGGAGGGCTTCGGCTCGGGGGAGCGAGTGGCCGAGAACGGCTGCTTGATCGACGAGGCGTGCTGGGACGGTCACTTCCAGAAGGAGAGCACGTACACCAGCTACCTGGACCACCTGTTCGGCCGGACGGAGGAGTGCGTCGTTGAGTCCGGCCCGGCCCCAGAGACGGAGAGCCCGGAGGCTAGAGAGAGAGAGTCGGGCGAGGCCTTCCTCACCCGGAGCGCCGAGATCGTGCTCAACGTGCAGCTGGACTCCCTGGGCCCGGACGAGCTGCCTCTGAAATCCATCCAGGCGTCGCTCACCCCCTGTGCCGTCAAATGCTCCCCTCAGATCACCCACAAAACCTACAGCAGCATCTTCAAACATCTTAACTAGAAAAAGCAACACATCCTCTTTTCGACGGCCGGTTTAGTTTGTCCTGTTTTTGTTTTTCTACTTGAATCATTTCATACCTTTTTTTTTCTTTTTTTTTTTAAAGTCAATTTTAAGAGTGGAAATGGGTGATTTCTTACGTTTAAGGAGTTTCTGTCACTCTGAGCCTTGACGCCCAGGCCTTCATGGGTTTACGTCTACGCCCTCATTGCTGAAACTGGCTTGTCACTCGCACACTTGCGTACTGTAGACGAACGGAAAATAGGCAGTGGGACGGCGGTCGAGGTTTCGGGGGATTCATATTTTGGCTGTCAGGGGAGTGTGCCGAGGGGAGATGCGATGATGGGTTTTGGTTTCATTTTGACGACGACATAAACGAAAGCTTCCATTACAGCCCTTTCATACTGTAAATGTGACACATGATGCCAGCAGCAACCATTATCGTAGGCGTTAATGTAATGTGTTATCTACCTCAAGGTAACAGCCGCGAGAGACACTCGAAGCCGCACTAGTGCTTTACACACCACGACCATCCTCATACCAAGAAATGAAGTGGTCTCATCGATGAATTCTGTCTCACGTTAGCGTTTAACATAGTGAGGTGTTTTTCAGTGATCATTATTTATTTCTAGCAGATGTGCGATATTTATTTTATCGAAAATTTGTGTCATTTCAATGTGATTATTGAAGAGCGAGGCGTTGGGCAGACCATTTTCATTTCAGCACTATTTGGGCGTCCAAGTGTTCCTTTTTGTTTTTATGGTAGATACAAATTTCATCTGTGTTGAGGCTTTCCATTTTTTCCATCAATATTGTCCAAATGGATATTTTTTATTTATAGGTGCATTCTGTTCGTAGTGGCAGAAAGTTATGGTTTCAAGCAGCACCTAAAAGTCTTAATTTTTTTTTTTTTTTTTTTTTTTAATCTAAATGTGGTGTATTCAACATTGCGTGCATGGAGGCAAGAGAATGGTACATTTAAAGTTAAATGGTGAGTATATTGTACGTCAGTTTTAATTGTCTTTTTTTTATGTACTTTTTTTCAGGCAAGCATGCTGAATTAGGTTAAGGTGTAGCATGTAGAACACATGGACTTTTTTTGTAATCATGGGTTCTCTTGTTCTACAAAAATATCAAAATAAACTTACAGGCAAACATTTGGGTGGCCTCTTCATTGCTCCACGTTCTATTGCTGTTGTTTTTTTTTTTTAATAATTTAAAAGGTAGAAAGTTACTCTGGATCAACACACTTGATGGAAGCTAAGCTGCAGGGAAATCAGCAGGATTACATAAGCAACGTATAGCTTTTCAACTTGGGCTGCAACATGTCGCCTCTCGAGTGTCGCATGTTGTGTCACTCAAGCAAGTGTAGAAACATGATATGCGCACACGAGCTATCATTTGCCTGGGAGGTTGCACTTGAGATGACGTTTTAGATTAAAATGTGGAAACACCTGCTTCCTCCCCCAGGACCAAGTTTGAAGTTTTACCATGTTTATTTATGAAAAGTGGATTGGCTAATTCTCTTTGAAGTAGTCTTGTGTATTAAACTCACTGCCATGGGCGTCATTAGGCCTATTTTAGGGAGGCTTCAGCCTCCCTAAAAATGTCTTTAGCCCCCCTAAATAATTTCATTGCATTATTTAAAAAAAAGTATTATTTATTTTTCCTGTACTTTTGCTAATATATTGCATCAAATTCAATGTAATGTGGCCATTTTAAATTATATTTCGATAACCTGCCATTATTGTAATATTAATCTCCCAGGATTCCTGAACGCAACAGGTGTTGCGTTAGCATTTGACGTG